ACACACACACACACACACACACACACACACACACACACACACACACAGGTACAGTTTCAGGCTCTCACAACAGTTCATTTTCCAAGAAGTCAAATTTCTTGAAAACTCCCAAAGATGTATAGATTAAGAAGCTTCCTTTCGTAGTGTGCTTCACAGTTCAATGAAGCTCTTTAAACATCATCTCATACACTGATGGCACAATGGAAGGTACAAGGAAGAGCAAGTGAACAGTGTCACCTGTGCTTGAAGGCCAGAGAATGCACCACTCTTGAGTAGATTACTTTAATATTGTTAAACTTTTTCATTAAAGGGGTGGCTGGGTAATAATGTTGCTTAAAGACTGATTCCACACCAATAGAAAACAGCTCCTTGGGGTAAGGTGTTGGTGCTGGGGACTAGTCCCAGGGCCCTAGTGTTTTCCAAGAGCTATATCCCAAGCACAAAAGCGTATTTAAATTAGGACACAGCAAACCACTATCAAAGGTGTCAAAATATTTTCAAAATAACCGGTAGTCCTAACTGTATTCTAATTTTAAGGGTGTTTTATTAAGTGTGAGCTCTACCAAATATACATCTAATCTTCCTGTGTGATGTTTTGAGTTTACTATACTGTTAGGAAGAGAGTGCTAAAAGGAAGAACTCTGACCTTACATCTTTATTGGCTGGTAGATGTATCAGTCAGTGGCAAAGAACATTTCTATTTGGGATGCATCCTATTCCTGTGTTTCATAGGAAAGCAAACATCACGCTCACAACTCTAATTCAGTTCTGAAGGATGGAAATTACCATTCTAGTTGACATCCATAGCGGAGTACCACAGCAAAGGTAAAAATAAATTTGAAACTATCTTCCATCATATAACATTGGATTAGACCCAGTGAAACAGTTTTATCTGAATTCTTTTTAGGTCTTCCAGACATTATGAACACTTCTCATTATTTGTCAAAACCATTTGTTATTTGGAGCATTTCAAAGTCAAGAAATTTTTATGCTACCCCATCTGTTTTTTTTTTTTGTTTGTTTGTTTTTTTGGTAGTGCTGGCAATTGAGCCCATTCTCTCAGGTAAATGCTCTGCCACTAGATCATACTTTTGCTCCTTTTTCTGCTATAACAAACTAATGCTCATTGATGCAAACAAGTGTGTTTTTTGGAAGAGAAACTTGTCCTGTTCATCAAGAATCAAGCTTTAGGCATGAAACAAACTTTGACCATTTCCTCTAAAGAAAAACTCCAACTCCACAGCTGTAATACAGCCACAGGTGCAACCAAAGTGGCAATGGCAGAACTTCTATAGCTCTACAAAGACCCTCCTCTGCAGGTCCCTTATAGACAGTCAGTCAGTACCTCCCGGAGCAGATGCCTCAGTACCGAAGAGCAGCAGTATGTGCACAACGATGCCCTTCACTTCCAGGATGCTAATTTGCCTTCTGTGAGGGAGTCTGGCTATGGCACTCAGGCTGGTTTCTGCCTGTGCAGGCCCTGCAGACCATACACCTGGCTCGATCTATTGTTTTAAGAAACCCCAAAATAGTCTACATAAACCTAATCAGACAAGTGCCACCGCTAATTGTTTTACACTGAATACCGTTGTTTCTGGAGGAAGATGACCCTACTTAGCCTTTCCCCACTTTTCTGAAACCCTGCACCATCCTGATGATAGCAGCTTATGCAGCATGCTTAGTTTATCTTTTATTTGCAAACATGCTTGGAATAAATAGAGCTAGGAGACAGAGTCAGCGCCGCTTGCTGTATTCCTAACAGTCTGAATGTCTTGTTGCCCCTCATTTACTTGTGCTTCCAGTTTTCAATGGAAGTAAGACACTCTTTAATTAGAAAATAAAAATAATTCAAACGATAAAACAAGGCTATCGGTTTAAGTATCTATTGCTTCATTATTAATAAATGCTTATATAAATTTAGTAGTAACTACCTAAGAATGAAAAATTTCAGCCATGGGTTAGCATATTAGCATTCTAGAATCAGTTATGGGCCTGCCACTATTACTGACACTTTCAACCAGGCCTGGTTTTAATAAACATGCAAATCCTCTGATTCAAAACCATGGGGAAAACACTTATACATGCAAAACGTCAGTCAAATTTCTTAGAGATGTAGTCAGGTACTCCATTATCTACCATACTACCATGGTACTTCAGAACAGGAACAAGTCATACACAAAAAGGTTAAACTGAAGACTTTGGGTTAGCTAGGAATCCTGGCCTTTGAAGAGTAAAGAATAAGTTTAAAGCTCTGGGGAAAAAAAGGAACCGATACAACAGTCTTTATGGAGCGGTAAGTTTTCTTGGCCACTTACTGAGAGCTGTAGGGTGGTGAGGATACTTGGGCAGAATGGCTTCTTTTCTGATTCACATTAATGAACAGCTCCCTGGGGAAAGTGGAGGAGCTGAGCTAAAACAATGTAAACCCAAGCAGTTACACCCTGAAATTAGCATAGCCTCAATAGAAATTCTTAACAAAAAAGAACGTATGAAGAAATAAACCTGGAATGCCCTGTATGATCAAGTTGTCTCTTAGAATTTTACTCCACACAAGAGAGTATTAAAGACGGTCGGATTCGTAGTAAAGAAACAAGTTCTTGCTTCTATCTAGAATTTTCTAAATTGGTTTTTCCCAATAGGTTGTTACCTAGCCATCACTCATGCTTTAACCCTTGTGGAATGGGCTATTAATATCTCATGGTGCCAGGCCTGATGGCACAGGTCTATAATCTCAGCTCCTCAGTAGTCTGAGACAAGATGATCGTAAGTTCAAGGCCAGCCTGTGCTACAGAATGAGTTCAAGGTAGCCTGAGTAACTCACTGAAAACCTGTTTCAAAATAAATAGCACAAGAGGGTTGAAGATGTAATTCCATGTGGAGTAGTTACCTAGCATATGCAAGGTCCTAGGTTCAATACCTGGTGCTGCAGAATAAACAACCATCCCACCCCAAACAAACAAACAAACAAACAAACAAACAAACAAACACAACCCTAAAACATGGCAGACATGCTCTATGGGACATGGTTTAGACGTCTTTCTGCAGGATGGCTTCTAACCTGTGCGGTTTTGCAGGGACACACCTGATTCTAACAAACTGAGCTTCTTCTAAATGCTCTCTCATGGAATATTTCTAAACCTTTTGCCCCAACCTCTCTTTTGTCTGTTGCTCAGTTACTCTATCAGGACCACCGTTTAAAGGCTTTCTCTTAGAAGCCCGTGATGCTGAGGATCTGAGTGGCCCTCCTGTTGGCTCCTTCACACTGATTGACAGTGAAGTGTCACAGCTTCTAACTTGTGAAGACGTACAGGTTTGTGTGTAGTTTGAAGTTCATTTCTCTTGTTTCTTTTGGGATGCTTTCGGTCTAGGGTGGTGATTGCATGATCAGTGATGGCATTGCCATGTGTAGCGGGCATTTGAATAGACTTACAGTCAACATATCTTACCACTGGTTTACATACCAGCATCTAGGAAAGGTTGGGTAATAGCTTGAAGAGCTTATGTGGTGGTGTTTATGTTACATTTCGAAATACTGACTTAAAATTTAAGATAATTACGTTGGGCATGGTGGTGCACACCTTTAATCCCAGCGCTCCAGAGGCAGAGGCAGGTGGATCTCTCAGTTCCAGGCCAGCCTGGTCTACAGAGACAGTCCCAGGACAGCCAGGGCTACACAGGGAAACCCTGTCTCCAGAAAAACAAAAATAACTTTCTAAGTGTATATATGCATGTGGGCGTGTGGGCGTGTGTGTGTGCGCGTGTAGGAGGAGGAGCAGCGGGCATGCCATCATGTGTGTGGAGGTCAGGAGACAACTTGATGGAGTCAGTTCTCGCCTTCTACCCTTATATATGCTCTGATAACCAAACTTAAATGTCAGGCTATGTCATTGGGGATCAAGTGCCTTTACCTGCTGAGCTGTCTTACTGGCTCCCAGTGTACTGATTTTTAAATGATTTCAGTATTGAGGAGACATAGTTTTATAATGAGACAGGGTGTAGGTTTTGACATTTATTTATTCATTCATTCATTCATTCATTCATTCATCCATTCATTCATTCATTCATTCCGTAAAGACTATGTCAGGAATTTTGCGGCATGCAAGAGATGTGGTAACAAACAAAGACTTACTCCCTTTCCTTGGAAAACTTGAACTCTCTTGCGGAGTAGAGAGCCCATGGACTCTGGGTAGCTGGCACAAGGGTAGGACAGACACATAAGTAGAAGAGTATGATGGATTAGGTTGGAGTGTGTACAAAGTCAGTGGGAAACACAGCGGTGGACGTCACAGATTGCAGCAGGAGAATTCTGTTAGGTTTGAAGAATGTGTAGGAGTTTGTCAGGTGAAAGAAAGTGGAAAACAGGACTGTTCAATAGGAATTGCTAAAACAGGATATATGTTTGGAGGTTTTAAATTGTGTTTTTTCCTTTTGAGGAATCTTTTACATTTTATTCATGTTCATTAATGGAAGGAATATAAATTTAAAGTGTAAAGTAAGACTAAGAACCTTCAAATAATGTTAATACACCTAATATTCATGGCTTCCTTCAGTATTAAGGTTTTTACTTTTGGTATTTCGAGACAGGGTTTCTCTGTGTAGCCTTGGCTGTCCTAGATTCACTTTGTGGACCAGGCTGGCCTTAAACTCACAAAGATTCACCTGGCTCTGCCTCCCTGAATGCCGGGATTACAGGGGTATGCCACTGCACCCAGCTGGTATTTAAGTTTTTGAGGACGCTAATTTGTTACACTGATACATATAACTGATAATACATTGTCAGCCAGTGGGGATGACTTTATTGAGGACTTGGCCTTCCTCTACACAGAATGTTCTTCCTTCAAATGCTACTGTTCATTTTGCAAATGATTGCAGTTCTGACCATGCTGAGCTGTCTGACAGGAGGTTGTTCTTTTCTATCTTATTTCAGGGTTTGGCCGTGAGTCATACAACTTCATCCAAGAAGACAGAAATTAAAGTCTACTGGAATGCTCCTAGCAGTGCCCCGAATCACATACGATTTTTGTGAGTACAAGAGCTCACATTTCTGTAGTCACTGCCTACAGAAATCATAACAAAGCATACTGCTTAGCCCCCAAATATTCACCTTTAGAGCTTTAGTAGTTACTAATACAAGAACTGTCTTGCTTCTTTTCTTACTTGGTACTGGAGACATCTTGCTGTGCAGCACTGGCTGGCCAGGAACTCCCTATGCAGATGAGTCTGGCCTTGAACTTGTAGCAATTCTCCTGCTTCTGATTCTTCAAAGAACCTGGCTTTTCTTTTTAAGCTTCTTTTTTTTGCTTTATCCTTCCAAGTGCTTGGATAACAGTCATGCATCACCGAGCCTGGTAGAACCTGGTACTTAAGGGACATTTACTAGATGTTGTTGAGTGGGTGAAGTGTTCCACTCCTAAGAGCCATCAATTAGTACTTGAGTCTGTGGTGTGCACAGTAACACTTCCTGCTTTAGTGCGAGAGTGTAAGTAAAACAGGGCTGGGAGTCGGATGACTGCTTTGGTGGCACTACAACTTGTAGATAGCTTATCAGAAAATCAAGCGCTGCATGCCTTTTGGAATTGTGAAACCAGAATTACAAGAGCGTCCTTTTCCTATTCATCTGCACTAGGCAGAATGGGGTGTCTTAAAAGCCATGTAATGATGCCTGAGTGGCATTCCGGATGGATGTACATGTACCTTACAGGAGAGGATCTTCTTCTGTTTATCTTTGTTCGCAGGCTCCCAGCGCTCTGGAGCGCTGCTCTGTGCATATGTGTAAGATGCTGAGGTGAACCCGAGTGAGCACTTGGATTCAGGCAGCTTCTGTGGTTCTTCGTTGGGTGGCTGCCTCTTAATGCATGCTCTTTGGAGGAGTGTGACTAGTCATTCACTGTGAAATGACTAGGAGTGTGCTCTTGGGTCAGGGTGCAGGAACCCACAGAATTTAGTTGTGCGGTCCATCATTCATGGCTGCTGTTGATAAAAGAACAGACAACAAAAAAAGAGGGAGTGAGAGAGTAATAAGGTTCATCTAGTAATGGGTGGAGGACAGTCCTTAGAGATTTGCCGCATACATGGGTGTTCTTCATTCGCCTCTTCCCACTTATTTTTCACTTGAGGTTTTGATTTCTTGTGATGCGCCACTGTGGGCTCTTGTCTAATCCCATGGGCGTTCTCTTTCAGAGCCACAGTTGTTCAGAAGTATAAAATCTATTGGGTGAGGATTCCTAGTCACGTAATTTCCCAACCAAATGCTCCTCCCTTTACAACGCCTAAAGCCACAACACAACCTTTGACGACGTCATCTTCTGCCTCGCACTTAACCAAGCCAGTAAGTGACATTTCCACTAAATATGATTTTGAGTAGCTTTCCTGGCAACTGAGTCTGGTTCAGTCTGCATTATCTGTACTGGGCCATGGGAGGGAGTTTTTGGGTTCTCTGTAGAAATCTGAAGGAAGTCTTCCTTACAACAGCATGGTTTATAGGTTTGAATAAAGGGCATAAAAGAATCTACATTCAGAGTATAGTTGCAACATTCACAAGCAGTTTTGATAGCAAGTAGAGGGTGTGTGTTCACTTGAAAATGAAGTTGAAAAAGCTTACCCCTCCCTTCCTCTGTCTTCTTTCTTTCTTTCTTTCTTTCTTTCTTTCTTTCTTTCTTTCTTTCTTTCTTTCTTTCTTTCTTTCTTTCTTCTTTCTTCCTGCTCTTACATAGAGAGGAAGTTTCTTTGTAATGGCCCTGGCTGTCCTGGAACTCACTTGCCTCAAACTCACAGAGATCTTCCCTATCTCTTCCTTGTACTGGGATTAAAGTTGTGAGCAACTACTGCCTGGAGGGGAGTCTTGAAGGGGTGGTATGGTATAGATTTTATTTTGCTAAGATTAAAGTGTTAGGGAACTCAGTGGTGTATGGCATCACCTGCCCATCATCCCGGAAGAAGTGAGGAGGCAGAGGCAGGAGGATCTTTGCAAATTTGAGGCCAGGCTCATTTACATGGTGAGTTCTAGGCTAGCATGAATTATATAGTAAGACTATTTTAACTCTCTTCCCCTCAGCAAATAAACAAACAGATGAAACAATGTAGGAGTTTGAGGCTAGCCTGAGCTACAAGAGGCTCTGCTCACTCTGCCCCCCAGCTCCTGCACCAACACTAGCAGGATGTTTAGTAGAAAAAAAGAAATCTGTTGTAATCCTGTCAGATTTGACATTTAGGCTTTGTGATTCAAAAGATCGATGACTGAAAAAAAAAATCTTGGAAAGAGTATTGCGTATTTGAAACCCCGGGCAGGTTTTCACGGAAGGAAACTTTGAATTAGCCTGCTCACTTCAGAAGTGCAAGTATAGAATGAAAAGCTGTCAGCATCGCCATAGCTGAGAGAACATGGCTGTGCCTAAGTGCTGACTTGCCTGCCTTTCGTGGGTCTGTGGAGGAAATTATTCCTGTTTCAGCTTCACTTAAGGATGAGAAACGATCATGTGCAGCTCTTCATTGCCGAGAATAGCCGTCAAAATTATGAATACATTTTTTCCATCTGTGCCTAGTGCCTCACAGACACGGGGTAAACTCTAGGTCAGTGGCCCTCAACCTTCCTAATGCTACCACCTTTAAAACAGTTCCTCATGTTTTGGTGACCCTCAACCCTAAAGTTATCTTTGTTGCTGTTTCCTAACTAATTTTGCTGCTCTTGTGAATTGTAACACGAATGTTTGTTTTCTCATGGTCTCCGGCAACCCCTGTGAAAAGGTTATTTGACCCTCCAAAGGGTTCCCAACCCACAGGTTGAGAACCACCTTTCTGGTCCCTTTCTATCTTCTTGTTGTCAGTACTTATCTCTTCTTTCACTAAATAAGGGCTGGAGAGGTGGCTCAGCAGTCAGGAGCACATGGTGCTCTTCTGGAGGACACGCGTTTAGAACCACAGCTGTTGCGCACAGCTGCCTAGAACTCCAGCCGCGGACGATATGATGTCCTCCTCGCTGGTTTCCTTGCATCCCCAGCATACACTCACACGGACACACATGCACACATAAAACTAAAAATGGCTAAATAAACCGCTTACCCTACGTAAGAGGAGTCTTATTTGGCCTCCTTCTCCTCTGCAGCTTTAAACACCTCCACGTATTTGTTCACACTATAAGGAACGTTGCTCGACTGTACAGTTATTAAAGAGGTTCTTATCTGTGTTAGTTCTCACTTCACTCTTAATACTTATTTAAAAGCTGCCCTAAGTGAATAAGCGGTTTGTATATGAGCTTCCTAATAGAAAATACTGCCTTTGCACATGGTCAATAAGAGGGGCTGGTTCTTCTTGTAATCTTGTAACCATGCCTCTGTGCCAAGGTGATAATCTGTAACTATAGGGCAATTCATTCAGGGCCGTGGCGTTTTTAGGTTTAGAAGAGACCTCAGTTCCTTTTGGATTGTTGAAGGTGAAGAGACCCTTCGAGAATAGGTTCTTTGACAGGTGGAATAGACCAAAGTGGAGCTCAGGGACCGAAGTCACATTTCCAAGGTGCTAGCAGCTTCTGTCTTTGCCCTACCGTGGTGAGTCTTTATGTCCCCACTAAGCCTGGTTTCAGAATTGTTGGCCCTCCTCCATTCTCACATACCACCCTGACAAGCTCTGCTTGTTTTCTGTGCCCAGTCATAGAGCTGATTTTTTTCAGGGGTGGGGTTGGGCTCAGAGGGTCTTCTTCAGCGCCGTGCTGGGAGGCCCTGAGTTCATTCAGCGTAGAACACTTGGCTGTGCCTCCTGACACAACAGGAGTTAATTTTGCTGTTGTGTGGAATGGTGGAATAAACAAGCTTCACATCTTTCCCTGTCTCATTTAACTTCAAATCTAAATGTGGATTTTCAAAGCTGTTCCCAAGATCTACACATAAAGACTCGCCCATGTTTGGCTTGCCTGCTTTTTAAAAATACCATCTCCTGAAAACTGGAGGGTAACCAGTTAGGCAAGATGGGCTGTGTGGACTTATGCCTGGGAAATTTCTCAATGTACAGGGAACCTTGCTCCTGATCTTGGCTGGTGTGAAGTGTTTTGTATATTAAACGAACATAAGCACTCTTGTGCCATTTCAGTCCAACTAGTGTAGTTTTCCAAATTGTAATTAAAACTAATTAGGTTTGAAACTCCACAGCTGAAGAGTGCTCTGATCATTTCTAATTTGTGATGCATCTTCTGTCTCTCTTCCCCCACCCCCTTTAGAATTTTTATGGAAAGCTTTTCTTGGCTGTTCAGTTCTCGGTAGTAAGCTGCTTGTTTCATAATTAAGACCTTCCTGTCCTTTTTATTTTTCTAGTTCAGTGCCTCCGAGTGTGGGAGAAAGAAGTTCTGTGTTCGGAGTCCTTTGACCTGTGACCCAGAGAAGGAGCCTGCCTGTGTCTTTTTGTCCTTCACCAGAGATGACCAGTCGGTGATGGTTGAAATGAGCGGTCCCAGTGAAGGCTACATTTCGTTTGCATTTTCTCACGACCGGTGGATGGTTCGTACCTGCTGCTTTTGTTCGGGGTCGTAGCAGGAGGGCCATCAGAGTGACTTCTCATCAACAGTAGATTAGCTGTGTCTTCCAGAGTTGAGTGATCAGAGCTAAGGCTAGATTAGGAAAGGAAACTCTAAGAACAGATCTGAACTTATTTTCTTATTTATTTATTAATTATTGATGCGGCACAATATTTCTTGGGGGAGGGGGCATCAGTTCCTCTGCCTTCCTCATAGTTGCCAGCAAGTTGCTCAGCCCTCACCCCTTACCCCTCTTCTTGATGAACTTGAGTGCACACTTGGCCTTACACACCTTGAGCGTCTCCACGGCACAGCACCCTAGGGCATGAAGCCGCACACCTCCCTGATCACGTCCCGTAGGAACTTGGTGTGCTTGCTGAGCCGTCCTGGGCGCCGGCTGTGCCTCGGCTTGCTGAGGCCCACATCCGTGGTTTAGCACAGGGCATGGCTGCTGTTCCCAGATGACGGCTGAGACAGGAAGACCACATCCGAATTTCAATGGCTGTTTCCTGCTTTCAGTGGAGGGTTATTCTAAGAGCAGAGCGCCCTAACGACAGCTGGGAAGGTCATTTTATTTGTAGCAGATTCGCAGGAATCAGAGGTAAAAGGAACGACTGCATAAAATGTCATGTTTGGAATGCCCTTCAGACCATTCAGGGGCCCATGCCCCACCACCTTTCCGTTACAGTGTCTTGAGAGAGGCCATGTGCTCTGACCGCTCCTTTGTCCCATACATGTTTCCGATTCTTGCTCTTTCTGGGCGGGTTCAGAGATTCTATGGGTGGTTTTGGAAAAGCAAATGCTGAGAGGAAAGAGGACACTTGTGCAAATGTTGAGTCCTCTTCATGGAGGACTGGCGGTGAGCAGAGTGGATGACTCCCAGTGTAACCTGCTCATTAGAAAAGGTAAAGTCTTTGGAGACTTTTCTTTATGTCAGCGTTTAAACTTGACACTGCTTTTTTAAAAAGGGAACTACAGCTCAAAACAATAAAACATGAAGGAAGAACCAAGGTTTATTCCACCCAAGATGGTGGCCCAGGTCTTTGACCCCAGTACTCAGGGGATTAAGTAGGAGAATCAGGAGTTCAAGGTCATGGCAAATTTGAAGCCAGCAGCCTGGTCTCAAAACAAAATAAAACCAAACCAAATCAACAACAACAACAAAAACCATAGAGCAATAGTATCAAAGCAACAAGTTACCTCATACACTTCCAAAAGTAAGAAAATTTCAACCTCTTCTCTACAGAGTTACTTTTATGGAAAGCTTTATACATTTTTATGGAAGATAATGTTGTAATTGTGCAAAATATTTCCCCTGCTTTCTGCCTGTAATTACCATCAGATCCGCAGCTTATTCTTTTGGGAGTTCTCAGTACTAGCAAACTGAATCAAATTTGGTGCCTGAGATGAATAATGAGGTGGAGTTAAGAGTCAAATGTGCCTCTAAAGCAATAAGGCAAGGTGGTGGAAATGGCTGTTACGCGAATAGGATGGAATCGGCTATGAAACAAACTCTGAAGATGAGTCCAGATAGGATTAAAAGGACTTGTTGGATAAACACATAATTCCCTTAAGTTGCATCTTTGGGGTGCATTAACTTATATCTGTCAGTTAAGTATTATTATACATGACTGTTACAGCATATTTATCTGTCATTGAAACTTAAAAAAAAAAAAACCTTATCTCTGTAACTGTATAGCTCACATGCATGCTATACCATAAACAGCTCATTTTTCTCCTGCTGGCCCCAGTGAACGTTGAGAGGGAAGGATTCCGTTGTGTTGAGTGTGAACATGGCTGTCCCACAGGTACTTTAGCTCTTGTAAACTGTACGCGAGATGGGACAAAAGCATTTATCTCTAATTCTGGATATTTTTACCTCACTTAGAAATCTTACCTATTTCTCTTACAGTGCTCATCAAAAGTGTTTATAAGAAGATTGGAGAGATGGCTCAGTGGTTAAGAGCACTGTCTGCTCTTCCAAAGGTCATGAGTTCAATTCCCAGCAACCACATGGTGGCTCACAACCATCTATAATGTGAACTGATTCCCTCTTCTGGCAGGTGTAAATGCAGATAGAACACCCATCTACATAAAATAAATAAATCTTTAAAAAAAAAAAAAAAGATTTACTTCTGCAGGTGCAGCTGGTTTACAGAGGAGCCCTGCTTACTGATTAAAATCAGACGGACACCTGGTTGCCTAAATTGGTGGCAATGGATCATCTTCAGAATATAGTTTTAAAGTGCTTATTTCTATTTAAGATTGTTATTTTCAAAACTTCAGTGTATTTTTATAAAACTTTTTTTTTTTTTTCTCTCGAGACAGGTTAGCCCGTCTCACTATGTAGCCCTGGCTGGCCTGGAACTCGCAGACCAATCTGGCTTCAAATGCCCATGGATCTGCCCATCTCTGCCTCTTGAGCGCTGGCATTAAAGGCGTGTGACACTTCGCTCAGGGTCCTGTTATTTTTGACTATAATATAAATTTAGATACTGAAAATGTTTGCTGTTCTAACTGCTGATCGGATAACCTAAAATCTACCTTAAAAAAATTAGCCCATAAATTGACAGCAATTGCTTTCATCACTAAAATTGGTGAAACATATAATTTTCTGAATTTTTGCTGACAGTGGCTTGCTTATTTTTTCGTTTTAGTCTTCCTTACCTGCGATTTTTATTATATGGTATAAAGTCTATCAGGAAGACACATTTTATCCTCCTTTCCCTCTTAAGTAAAATAAAGTCAATTTACACACACAGAACAGGTTGCTTCTGTGATCCTCCGAAGTGTGGAATGTCTGTTCACACACCAAGCAAACAATTGATTTTGCTGTTCAACCTGGTGATGGTGTCAGATCTCAGGGCTTGAGGGCTCAGTCTCCAGGACTGCCTAGCCTCCTACTTCAGATGGTAATCACAACCCCCAGCTTATTTAACCTGTGCTTTTGACTCTGGGATGACAAGCCAGGGTTTCCAATACCTCCTCCTGGGGATGGGCTATTCAAACAAGGTCAGGGAAGCATGCTTTCCTGTTTATTATAAATGATATTCCAAAGGATACCAAAAGAGAGGTGCACACTGCAAGGGGTGTGTGTGGGAAGTGGCAGGGGCCTTCATGGCCTCCTGGGTACACCATTTTTCAAACCCAGGTCCTTTAGCCCCTGAGCCATCTCTCCAGCCCGTTTTAGGAACCTCAAGTTCAGCTATCTGGAAGTTCTTCAAACCTTGTCCTTTTGGGGTTTTGTAGATACTTCTTTTCATTGGGATGATCGACTGAATCTTTGACTGTTGATGACTAACTTGACCTTCAGCAGTTTCTACACTTTCGGTGTATTGGGAGTGAGGTTAGGATCTTAATCCTTTAATCCTGTAGGTATCAGGGGCTGCCAGTCATCAGTCAACCCGTTAACACAACATTAAACAAACAAACAAACAAACAAACAACAACAACAACAAATCTTTGGAGAGTCCAGAAATCTTTAGGAGTCCTATACTAGGAGATGGGGATGAAGGCAGCTTATGTATTTTGGTGTATTGTACTTGCCACATATTATCTTGTTGCACACATAATTTTTCATTGACCAAACTCTCTAGGTTATTCCCACTTCTGATCTTATTTGAACCCTAGATTGCAGATTTTACTGTGGTTTCTCCTGCCTCAAGCTTCTCCATTTATTTATTTGTTTTATTTATTTACTCGTTCACTTATTTGTTTTATCTATCTATCTATCTATCTATCTATCTATCTATCTATCATCTATCTATCTATCATCTATCTGTCTGTCTGTCTATCTATCTATCCACCTGTCTATTTGTTTATTTGGGTGTTGGGGATCAAACTCAGAGCCTCATTACATATTATCCTGAGCTACATCTTCAGCCCCACTGTTCCTTTTATAAACTTTAAACTTGCAGAAACGTCTAAAGAATAGTACAATAAATGCCATTAGTCATTCGCCTAGATTTGCCATTTTACCTTTATTCTTGTATGTCCGGGTCCATTCCTCTGTCTCAGTTAACTTTTGTGGTATATACAGTTTTCCCTTCTAAACTCTTTGAGGGTAGGTAGATATGACAGCATTTTATCCCAAAGATTTTGGTACATCTGTCCTGAGAACAAGAACATTCTTTTGCAGTTACCACAATTTTATCATATTGAGAAAATTTGATAATGATACAATCATTTCGTGCACCAAATAGTTTATATTCTGTTTCCCCCATTTGTCCCAATAATGTTCTCTTTAAAATTTTTTAAAAGAAAGTTCTCATCCAAGACTCAAGCAGTTGTCATCTGATGCATGTATGTGTCTTGATCTGCTTTATTTTAGAAGTCGCTCCACTTTTTTTTTTCTTGATTTTTTTCCCCCTTCTTCTTTCAGACCAGTAGCTTTGTAGAGCATTCTGCTATTTACATGGTAGATTCACTCCCAGCTATTTATTTACTTTCGAGACAGAGTTTTACTGTGTAGCTGTGCCAGCAGGCTCAAGCTCACAGAGACCTCAAGCTCTGCTTGCCCCAGCCTCTTGGGTGCTGAGGATAGAGGTGTGTCCTACCACACCTAGATAAGTGGTTATTTTTTTTAGCTACCAAAATAAGCAACCAGATGTTGTTTTAAAGAGAGAAAATCCCAACTGTTCAATTTTACCAATAAAGACTCAGGAGCCAGATGGTGGGGTGAAAACTTGCTAGCTCAGAGAGGCAGAGAAAGCACCCAGCTGACCTTCCTACTTAGCTCATGTCCCAGAAGGAAAAAGCCAAAAAAGCAAAAAGCCAAATGCTTGCTAGCTCAGCTGATGGCCCAGGAGGAAAAGGCCTGCTTGCTCACTCAATAGCCCAGGGAAGAGCCAACAGCTAAAAGCCCAAAAGCTAGAGAGTTAAAGCACTAAAAGCTAAAGGCTAAGGAGCTGAAGATCTAAAGAGCTAAAGCTCAAGAGCCCTTCTTCTCCACGATGTCTTAAATACCCTTCAACTCAAGGCCCCTCCTTTCTATTTAGTTCCTGGTTTCTTGCTCCACCTTTTGACCTAGGGTTAACTTTATTGAATCCCGAGTACATAAAGCTCTTGGATTAAAAGTGTGTACTAGGGCTGAACCACACAAAGAAAGATACAGGTTTTTACAGTGTACAATCTCAGGGTTCACAATGGGTCAAATACCCTACACCATCAGTTCTCTAGACTCCAAACAGATCATTTGCTCCTGAGTCAATTATGTTTTCAAAGCACCAAATGCTATTCGATCAGGGACTCCTAAATATAATACACTTGTTTTTCAGGGTGATGATGACGCTTACTTGTGCATTCGTGAAGACCAGACAGTGTATATACAGCCTTCCCGCTTGACAGGGCGAAGCCACCCTGTGATGGACTCCAGGGTGAGTGGGAACAGGCTGGGAACCCGTCTCCTTGGCCCACCTCCCCGCTCTGTGGCTGCCTCTGCCTGCTTGTGTATGGGAGCCTCTGGCCCTGATGACCCTGGAAAATGATCTTCTCATGATTGCCAAGAAACACTCTGCACTTAAAAAGCACAAGACGAAAGTTCTCTACTTGGAGATGATTAATTCTTGCTCATGTCACTTAAATCATTTTCATTACATCTTACAAAAAAGTATTTTATGGCTTATCGGCATGATCAGAGCATTCACGCCTTTCCAAAAGCTTATAGGACAGTCTTTTTTTTTCTTCTTCTTCTTTTTTTTTTTTTTAGAAGAGACTTTGGGCAGGGTGCACCGGGTTCAACCCCCAGCATACATAATTTGGGTGTAGTGGCATATAACTAGCACTTTGCCTATGAAACGTGAGGATCAAAAATTTGAGACTGGGGCTGGAGAGCATTTGCTGCTATTGCAGAGGACTAGGATTCTGTTCCCACCAGCCACGGGGTGGCCCACAACTTTCTGTAACACTAGTTCCAAGGGATGCAGTGTCCTCTTCTGACCCATGTAGACACCAGGCGTATACATACATACATACATGTAGACAAAAGACTCATACACATAAAAGAAGATAAGTAAATTCTAAATCCCAAAAAAAAAGTTTTAAGCCCACCCTTTATTATTACATAGTGAGTTCAAGTCTAGCCTGGACTACAGCCTGTCTCAAAAACAGTCAGTCCAACAGAGGAACAGCCGAAATTCTGTTTCGGAAGTATTTCTCGCCTACCTGGAAGGAGGGGCATGTGTAAGCACCGATGTCTACGTGGTTGCCTTGTGTGTCCCTCGCTGGCATCTGTGCCAACGTGAAGCATTTCTTTTTCGTAGGAGAGTTGGCACTCAAATGTGCTGTGAAGGAGTGGTGGCTCTTCCTTAGTGTCACCACAGGTGAAGTGTGGCGAAGCAGCGCCTTCCCGACCTGACGCCCCCACATGCCTAGCTTTCCTGGGATTCGTCTGGCTCCACGCTGCACACTGGTCTCCTGGGTGTTGCTTGCTGCTTTTTTCTCTTCAGCACTTCTGCGTTGTTGTGCTGGTGGCCAGTCGGGGCTAGCACAGCAGCTAGATTTTCTAACCTGGGTGGAGGACCTGAGAGGTTCTGGCTCAGAGTGAAAAGTAGCTTTAAGAATGTTAGCCAAGAGGCATAAAGACCAACCGGCAGAATAATAATGAAAAAAAATCTTGGTATTCTTTGAAGGATAAAAACCAAGGAAATGAAAACAAGCAGTGAAAACCTGCGCCCCTAACCTTAGAGAAAGGAAATGGAAGAGGTCAGGGGTTTGAGCATGTCTTCTTTTTAGCAAGCCTTTGGGAAGTGTTGAGAAGCCCCCTTTGTGTGTTTGTAGGGGACTCTTGAGAATATGGCCTGGCGGCTGGCGGATGGCGTCATGCAGTGCTCATTCAGAAGAAACATCACCCTTCCTGGGGTGAAGGACAGATTTGTGCTAAACGAAAGCTACTACATATTCCTAGCAGAAGGTGCAGCTCACAATGGTAAGCACTTGGCTTAAATCTACCTTTGCACACTATTTCTCTCCCGTCCACTCCCCTCTCCTTGGCAGACAGGACTACAGTTGCTCATTTTAAGGTGTTCTTTTTGACTTTGTGTTACGTTTCTGCCTTTGTTGCTCTGAAAACCACACAGAATGTCAGCCAGGTTACAAGGCAGCATTGCTTATGATTTCAGTGGCCCCTGCTCTGTGCAATGAACTTGGGCCAGAACTGTAAGTGCCTTGTAAGAAGTATGTACGGTATGTATGTGTTTGGCCTTTGCTGGGTGTAGTGACTCGGCTGTTCCTAGGAACAGTGCCTTTGGGTTGTTGCAAGAAAGGCCAGCCTGAGTGGGACAGTCTATCCAATCTGGATCTGGTCTCCTTAGACATGAGCTTCTCTAGGAGGCAGGGAAGAGGCAGAGCATCAACCCTGGCAGCAGAATCAAGGTAGAAGGGGGTTGTGCCTGTTTGCTTCTCTGCTGTGTCATTTTCTATCTGGCATCTTCCTAAGTACAACGGAAACTGTGTGATCCCAGTATTATTTAGGAATATGAATGATTAGTTTTAGTTTTATTTTGTTTGTTTGTCTTTGTTTTGTCTTGTATTGAGACAGTCTTGCTATGTAGCCCTGACTGGCCTGAAACTCTCTGTAGACCAGGCTGGCCTTGAACTAATAGAGGTTCGCCTAGTTCTGTCTACCAAGGGCAGAGATTAAAGGCATGTGCCACCCTGTTCAGCCTCATCTTCGTTTTCTTAAAAAGTATCTTCAGTATGAGCACCTTTGCCACCTTGTTTATTTCTAACATTCGTTCCAACACAACACTTCTTTTATCAAGTGGAGCCAACGTGGGAGCTTGAGGCAGGAACTGAAGCAGACCATGGAGGAACGCTGTTTACTGGCTTGCTTCCTCTGCCCTGCTCAGCTGCTTATATACCCCAGGACCACCTGTGTAGGGATGGCACTGCCCACAGCGGGCTGGGCCCTGCCACACCAACCATTAATCAAGCAAAAGACCTATTGACATGTCTAAAGTCCAACTGAACTGAGGTTTCTTCCTTCCAGGCGACTCTAGTTTATATCAAGTTGATAAAAAACTAACCAGCACAGTTACATTTTGTTGTTTTCACTAAGCCACAAGTAAAATGATCACCTCGATACCTTGTTGGCTTGTATTCAGGTGTTTTGATGTGTCTTCATTGTTACCATTTCTAGGAAGACTGGTGATTTTAGTTTTTATTTCCTATTTAAACCAATAGTTTAAAAAAAATCCTGTTAAAAGTATCTGGCAAGACCTTATTCCCTCTTTTTTTTTTTTTTTTTTTTTTTTTTAAATTTGTTATACAGGTTATTTATCCTTCATATATTTTTTAAAGTTAATTTAGTTAATTCAATTAGTGTGTGTGCATAAGTGTGTGTGTGTGTGTGTGTGTGTGTGTGTGTGTGTGTGTGTATGTGTGTGTGCATGGGTATACACAGTTGCTCTTGGTTAGAGGACAGCTTTGCTGAGTCAGTTCTTCCAGATTATCAGGTTTGCAATATAAGCACTTGTGCCTGCTGAGATATCTCACAAGCCCTGTCCTTTTAAAATTACTGTGATATAGGCTGTTGCCTGATTTCTATTATTTGTTTTTGACAAAAGTTTATATATCGATTATATCAAGTTTCTTATTATTTTTGTACTTGCATAGTTTTTAAATATATGTATGCTCTATAATTTATTCTATTGTAGTGATGGGCATTTAGTTTATTTTCATTTAAAACAACATAAATTGTTGCTATAAATACTTGTGTGCATATATTTTTGGTTCAAAATCATTATGCAGAAGAGGAGGCAGAAAGATTGTAGGAGCCAGAGGAGATGGATGACTCCAATAAAACAGCATCCTTTAGACACACAGGGCTGATGCACGTATGAACTCAGAGACTGTGACATCTCGAACAGGACCTGCACATGTTCAAACCAGACGACAACATCTCAGCAAGGAAAAGGGGAGGTGGACATGGAGCCTTATTTTTTAACCAAGCTAATTGTAATTGATACCTGCTGGGAAAGGAGAAATAGATTTTCTCTGATGCAGTGTCACTGATTATATCAACCAGATGTCAGGGTTTAAAATTTTTTCTTCCTGTAGCATAAACATACATACACATATACACATACCTATATATATATATATATATACACACACATACACACATATATATGTACGTACTTGGAATAATCTCTAGCAAGAAAAGAAAAAAATAAGGCCAGACATGGTAACATATGCCGCTCTTTTTTAAATTTATTTATTTATTTTTATTAATTACAGTTTATTCACTTTGTATCCCAGCTGTGGCCCCCTCCCTAGTCCCCTCCCAACCCTACCCACCCTTCCTCTCCTCCTCCCATGCCCCTCCCCCAGTCCACTGATAGGGGAGGTCCTCCTCCCCTTCCTTCTGACCCTAGCCTATCAGGCCTCATCAGGACTGGCTGCTTTGTCTTCCTCTGTGGCATGATCAGGCTGTGCCCCCCTCAGGAGGAGGTGATCAAGGAGCCAGCTACTGAGTTCATGTCAGAGACAGTCCCTGTTCCCCTGACTAGGGAACCCTTTTGGACACTGAGCTGCCATGGGCTACATCTTTTTTGAGACAGGATTTCTCTGTGTGTAGCCCTGGCTGCCCTGGGACTCACTCTGTAGACCAGGCTGGCCTCAGCCTGCCTCTGCCTCCCCAGTTCTGGGATTAAAGGCATGTGCCACCAACACATCTCTCTTATCCTTTTACGTATCTTGCCTGCTTGTGTGCCTCTGCACCATAGTGTTCCTGCTACCCTGAAAGGTTTGAAGAGCATGTCAGATTCCCAGATCCTGAGCAAATGCTCTTAACCACTGAGCCAAGTCTCCAGCCCTTTCCTTCATTTCTCTTTGTCATTTAAACCGAGTCCTATATCATAAAAATGCCTTTCTCAGTTGTCTGCCTATTTTCTGCCCAGGCCCGGAATCTGTTAGAATGCAGGCATGGTTAGAGGTGGGGAGCTTTAAGACACATCTGTTAGTATTCAAGAATTACACTGGGTATTTTCAGTGGCTTGTCATCAGCCATTATTTTGACATTGTTTAACCTGTTAATAGCACACATTGTTTTTTGTCACTGCAAACTCTTCTATTCCTAGTCCCCGTTTTGATTCACCTTGCTGTTGGCTAAATTCTTTTAATTTTCAGGAAAGCCACATGTTCTCACAGATATCTTTATGTAGCTCTTACATGGGAATGCCAACTTTTCCTATTTGACTATTTTTCATTACTGTAAAGCATTTTCTTTCTATTCTGTGTCCATGTCTCAGGCCGAATTTTTAGGCACTCCCGGCAACCTTTGATAACATATGAAAAATATGATGTGACAGGCGTTTCAAAGAATGTAGGAGGATCCCACTCCTTACCCCTTTTGAAGGCTCATGGTAAGTTCATGGAGCACCTTTATTACGTTTTGTGGAATACGCTAACAAACAAGCAGGTGTTGGCTGGATCGGGAACGGCGGCAGGTGTCACTTAGCAAATTTTCATGACTCTTATCTACGAACATCAACATTTTCAGGTAGACTGCCCATCTCAATATTTGCCAATTTTTATTAAAAGTGGAAAGGAAATTTAATTCACTGGTGTTAATACCGGTGACCCATTAAAATCAGCCATGGAAACATCTAAATTCATCCATCTATAGCTAAAACATTGTTCTAGTTACTCCTATCTACAGCTAGGGTTGGGTATTACTGGGTTAGTTAATTTAATGTTTCTGAATCCTTGCTTGTTGTTTTTTTATTAAAATAAATGCAAATTAAAAAGTGGTCTGTAGTTCCTGCTGTTGAGTTGTAACAGCAGTTTAGTTTGGCAAACGCAGTTGTGCCCTTGGATCCTTCTGACGTGTTATAATTTGAGCGTAGAAAGCACTCAGTGCTTAGGCTATGGGCATTTGGGTGACGAGTGTCACGGAGCTGGGAGAGTAGCTGCTTGAACAAAAGGCTCTCAGATGCTTTGAGTCTAAAAAGTTGATTCCCCTCTCGAAGTACCCTGGCTTACTGTTGAAAAGGATTCAAAAGTAGGGAAGCAGTGCGAACTGTACCGTTACAAAATATTAACCTCTCAGGCGTTTTCTTACCGTGTTCCCTTCACATCCTTCAGCGCTCTCCATGGCTTCTTATGATTCCCAGCGCAGCTCACCTTGGAAGCCACTGCCCTGTCTTCAGCTGGACTCCGCTTCTGCTGTGCCTCCAGCTGGGCAGGAAGTAGATTTGGAGGTCACGTGTCTTTTTGTCTTTCGTTTGTTGTTTGGAGTAAGATTACGGAGAGGAGAGCTGCAGACATGCTGTTAGAAGGATCGTTAGGAACACAGTTTCAGTAGGCAGCTGCTTCCCCGTTTGTCCAAATGGGAGGAATAAGACCATAAATAAGACCGTAATAAGACCCATAAGACCGTGGCAAAGGCCAGTTTGACTAATACATGTAAAGCCTGCTAGGGGCAACGACCTTGCTGGTTGTTATCAGCAACAGTGACGGTGAACTAAGACCTAATGATGTAAAGTGGGTATTTTTTGGGGGAGGGGATCATATTTCGATCCCCCTAATGTACTTGGCTGGCTGTTTGAGCACTTGGCTTGACCACGGATGCAGTACCTTACTACTGTGTAACTTGAACCGCTGCTTCCTTCCCTCCTGTAGGTGCCTTGATGTTTGTGGCGTGGATGACCACAGTTAGCATAGGAGTGCTCGTTGCCCGGTTCTTCAGATCTGTTTGGTCGAAAGCTTTCTTCCTTGGTGAAGCGGCTTGGTTTCAGGTAGGCTGCAGAAAAGGCTTAAAGCAGTTTCCGTGTCACTTGGACGTTATGGCATGAGACTTTTGTGCTTTTGGTTTTTATGTTATTTACTTGGTGTGCTTGTGTGCTTGTGTGTGTGTGTGTGTGTGTGTGTGTGTGTGTGTGTGTGTGTGTGGAACAGTGTTTGTGTGGAAGTCAGAGGACAACTTTTGGGAGTCAGTTTTGTTCTACCATGTGGTTCTTAGGATAGAACTCAGGTCATCATGCTTGCCTGCTAAGCCATCTTGCTGGCCCACGTGTGCTTTCATTTTTCATTCCTCAGCTACTGTAGGTTTTAGATCCCCTTAATTTCCTAACTAACTGAGAGCCGATGCAAGATTACTTACAAAAGCATGGCTTTTCAAGGAGCGGGATGAACTAGGGGACTTATCAGGGCCAAAGGACTCTTCCTTACCCCTTGGTTTGTAGTGGGAGGAGCTGAGAAAGATTCACTCACTGCACTATGTGAGTTTGAGTCACGGAGCGCTGGAAAACAGAAACACAGGATGGTGTTCACTGCATGTCTGTCCTCTGCTGGATGTGCCCGTGAGAGATGGATTCTCCTTACCTAACAGTCAAGATCATCTGATTCTGTGTGGGGAGAGAAACTGGAAGTGCTCTTTTCCACGCTGAGCCTTCCTGGGGATGGAAAGATGGGGTCCTTTGGAACCCAGTGAGGCTCGACAAGAACCTTTCACAGGAAGACAGGCAGAGCAGCTTCATTTTCAAGGACTGTAGATCGTGCATATGTGTGTATGTAGTGGTCCATCAGGAAGTATGTGCCATGAGAGTGCGGATGCCTGTATCTAGGAAAAGTGTTCTTAAATGTGTGGTATTAGGAAAACTGGAGGAGTTGTTGCTTCATTTCTCTTCTTGGTTGACAGGGTTATTTATTCTTCTTTAAAACACTTTCTGGAAATTCTTGTTATGATGATGATGATGATGATGATGATGATGATGATGATGATGATGTATGGGTGTTTTGCTTGCATGTGAGTCTGTGTATCACCTGTGTTCCTGAAGAGGCCAGAAGAGGGCATCAGATCCCTTAGGACTGGAGTTATAGTAGTGGTGAGCTAAGTTTTCCTTAGCTTAATGTTCTACGACACTTTATTTCTGCTGTTGCCACACAAGTGGAATGTCTGCCTTCGGTGACTCCCCCGCGGTCGCCCGCTGCGACACCAGCCGTCTCTTATGAAGTTAGCCAGGGCAGGCTGTTAGCCATCCTCTCACCTTGCCATCTCCCCTTGCAGGTGCATCGGCTGCTCATGCTTGCTACATCTGTGCTCACCTGCATTGCGATTGTTATGCCTTTTGTGTACAGAGGGGGCTGGAGTCAGGTAAGTATGCCTTCAGCCAGATGCTTCCGTGTAAGTCTGTTCTGATGTCAAAGCAGATTGCTGTTTTAAAGGCGGATAATGAGGGATTTCTGTGTCTATCCTTCCTTTTCTCCATTTTTTTTTTTTTTTTTTTTGAGTTATCTGATGACTTCTCCTGGTTGGGGATCAGGAATGAAAGGAGACTATGAATGCAGATTACTTGGTACTTAAATGTATTTTCAGGCTGCATTATATTTTACACATTCCTTTCAGAATGTGTGTTTTCCTTATAGAATGTTGAAAATTGAAAGTATGATGTCTAAGATTTGTTTTTGTTGTTTTACGGGTATGTATGTATGTGAATCTATGTAACTCTAGCACAAGGGGCAAGCACAGCGGTTGTGAGCTGCCTGATGTGGGTGCTGGGAACGGAACTTGGGTCCTCTGGAAGAGAGTGATCACTCCTAACTGCTGAGCCATCTCTCCAGCTCAAGTGTGATGTTTAAGAAACACGACCAATTAGATCTCATGATTATCATTAAGCTAACAGAAATTACATCTCTGCTATATGACCAATAGTGCTAAGTACCTTATATATACAATTTTAAATAAATGAATTAGAATATAATGTTCACATCACTTCCCTCCTTTCCTTCCCTTTCTTTCATTCAACTCTTCCATATCTCCTCCCTCCAACTCTTTACGTGTTCCCCCCTCTCTCACACACACATACACACACCACAAATGTAAGTATATAACTATATCCTGCTGCGTCCATTTGGTGTTGATCATGTGTGTATGTCTCCAGGGCTGATGCTCTATATTGGATAACCAACTAGGGGACTCATCCCGGGGAGAGACTAATGCTCCCTCGTACAGCAGTTATGATTTGCCTGTAGTTCTTTGTCTGAGAGTTGGGAGTTCATAAGAACATTTACCCCCTTCTCTGTTAGCATGCCTCCTAGTGGCACTGTTCCAGCCGTAGGCAGCCCTGTTATGGAGGTGTCATGAGGTATAGTTTCTATGCCATTTCTAGAACACGTAATTTCACAGCAGACTTCTTGGTCTTCTGGCTCTTACTATCATGCCCTCATCTGCAGTATATATGGTTTTAAATTAGATTTAAATGGACAGGAAGGGCCGTGACTGTTTTAACGATGTCCTTTGTTCAGCGTGCAGGCTACCACGCATACCTCGGCTGTACAGTGATGACCTTAGCTGTCCTTCAGCCTCTGCTGGCCACCTTCAGACCACCTTTACACGACCCAAGGTATGGGCAGCTCTGACATACAAACACTTAGTGTGTGTCATTCAGTGGGCAACTGACTCTTCTTCAAAGCAGAAACACTTTGCTTTTTTGTAGAATGCAGTGATGGATTGCATTTACAGTTATGGATTTTAAAACGTGTTGCCGATACTCAATTCCCCAGCAATAGAGAAATCGCATGCTTCGCCATCTCCTGGGGATTAATTATTATTCCATCACTTTAAAGACTACTGACTGGTTCTTTATTTTGGTAGGAGGCAAGTGTTTAACTGGACTCACTGGAGTGTGGGCACAGCGGCTAGGATAATAGCAGGTAAGTAACTGCAAGGCCACTTACTCATACGTAATTGCTGGCTGTTTACACTGCAAGGCGTGATTTGGCTTAAATGATTTCAGATGCATTAGTAGTCGGAGCAATTGGCTGTTGAGGAGAAATCAGCCCGGAGTATTGAAATCTAGAAAGTAATTTCTACAAGTAACCATTTAAGTCATTATTTAAGCTTAAGGTTTTAAAAAAGCATCTTTAAAACTGCTTCATCCCCTCCCCTTGTCATTTCCCCACATTTGCCTTTGCAAGTAAATGAGGTTATGATAGTGACCCATGAAGCAGGTCAAGTTAAGGTCCCTTGGGTTGAGGTGGGTGAAATGAGCTTCGGACAAGCCCTCCAACCCCAGGCCATTTCCCTACTGTTTGTACTTGTGGGGCAGGTGGTTTCCAGAAGGCAGGCGGTGTTATCTGACACACACTTTCTTTCAGTACCAGGGACTGGACCCAGGGCCTCATATACGGTAGGCAAGCGCACTTCCACTGTACATCCCCAGGCCTTTTCGTAGTTTTTATTTTCACACCCGGTCTCACCAGTTTGCCTTGACCTCACTCTGTAGCTTGCACAGTCCTTGAACTTGTGATTTTCCTGCTTCAGCCTCCCAAACAGCTGGGCATGTAAGCCCGAGCCAGGCACATTTTCCATTTAACCCCTAGGGAGGCACGAGTCACGTGTTCATTTCTATTGCTTGTGGGATGAAGTGTGGGACCTTCTCCCCCCCCTTTTTTTTGCAGGCTTACATTTCTGGAAAGGTTAGGTATATCTGTTGTTATCGGTGTCGGGTATTGAACCCAGGGCTTTGCGCCTGCTGGCTAGTGCTCTACCCATGATCCACACATCCTTAGTTTGTGCGAGCTGTCTTAGCAACTGATAGGTCGAAATGTGCTCTCTTGTCTTATAACGTCTTACAATACAGAAGACCAGATTATCTTAGCCCTAAAGATTATTGTTTTTATAAATGTTTAATATATATAAGACATTAAATACACATTTATATTAACTATAATAAAACATTATATATGTATATATAATATATAGTTGTGTATATATATTATATATGTACATATATATGTATATATGTTTGCCTTTCGAGACAGTGTTTCTCTGTGTAGCCTTGGCTATTTGGAACTCATTCTGTAGACCAGGCTGCCTCAAACTCAGAGATCCACCTGCCTATGCCTTCCGAGTACTGGGATTAAAGGTGTGCACCATCATTGTCCAGCTGTTTAGTATGTTTTAGTTGATGTAATGTGCACCATTTCTATTTTCACTGGGCACTGAGTTCAAGCACTTTCTTTTTTTTTTTTCTGTTCTACACAGTGGCAGCAATGTTCCTAGGAATGGATTTACCAGGACTGAAACTTCCCGGTCCACAGAAGACCTATGTGATGATGGGGTTTGTGGTCTGGCACATCGCCACCGAGGTGGTTCTGGAGATACACGCTTACCGGCTCTCCCGAAAAGGTAACCCACTTGGGATGCCCTATTGTGGGGCTGGAGAGATGGGGCATGCTGTGCAAGCATGAGGATCTGAGTTCAAATCTCCAGCACCCGAGTAAAAAGCCAGGTATGGATGTGTGTGTCTGTAAACCTTCGTGCTGTGAGGGAATGGAGACAGGAGGCTTGCCGGGATTGGCTGGCTGCCAACCTAGCTCCAAGTTCAGTGAGAGACCTTGAGTGAAGGAGATAAGGCAGAGAGTCCCCGTGTGTGTTTGTATGCTCGTACACACACACACACACACACACACACACACACACACACACACACACATATGCATGCACAGATGCACGCAAGCGCACACACATTCCACGTTCAGAAAGTTTGCAACATTTACTAGACTGAAATGGCCAACTCTGTATCCTGGAAAACTGAGGAATGCCAGGACTCAGGTTTTATCTTATTTTTCGAGACAACTAGTTTACTTGAGTGTCGCCATTCTCATAAGCGTGCGTTGTTCTTGGCAGTTGAAATACTGGATGACGACAGAATTCAGATCCTTCAGTCGCTGACAGTCGCGGAAGCAGAGGTGAGAGTCCCTTGTTCCGGACACGGGCCCTCATGATGGTGCTTTCCGCTAAATCTCAGCTTTTCTTTCAGGGCCATGTCTTTAAGAAGGTGGTGCTGGCGGTTTACGTGTGTGGGAACGTGACCTTCCTCGTGGTATTCCTCTCTGCCATCAACCACGTATGAGCACGCTGAGACTTTATCTATTTATTTATTTTTTTGTGGGCCTGGGTCACGGTCACCGCCAGAACAGGAAGGGAGACCTGAAGCTGGTCCTGAGTGGCCGCAGCGTGTTTTAATCAGGAAGACCCGTGGACGTCACTCTGGAGGAATTCTCAAGTCTGCCTTTTCCAGCTCCCGCTCAGTCAAGCCTTGACCGGACCCCTGTACCCGAGGTGACATGGCTCTCAACATCTGGATTTAAAACAGTGAATGAAACAAAGGAAGATAATTATCTCAGGCAAAGGATAGATGGAGACTGCATCTTTGGGAATGAGACAGGTTCTGTGTAGCCCAGGCTGGCCGCCAGCTGGCTGTGTAACCAAGGATTACCCTGAAGCTCCGATCCGCTTCCTGGGTGGTGGGATGACAGGTGTATGCCACTATCTGGTTTTAAGGGGACGGTAACTTTCATGCCAATGCTGCTGTGGGACTTTAAGGAATATGTTTGTGTTGACTAGTTTATTTAAGACTTCTTAGTTTTTTTTTTAAAGTGTTGTTTTCACACACACACATAGATACACACATACATATGCTCACACACACACACACACACACACACACACAAGAAAACCTGGAAAACAACGTGTTTTCCAGTCCAGGATTTGGGACTTTTTTTTCATTGTTTGTATTCCAGTGCTTCTGGTTAAAGGTAGAAGTGTGCTTGATTTATTCACTGGACATTTCGCTAACATTTAATTATATCATGGATATGATATTTCCTCCTTTTAGCAGTGAAATGCAAGTACGCACCTCCTAATTAGAGATCTCATCTATTTCTTCATCCTAGGAGAGCTGAAAGGACGTGTTGTGTCATTTCGGCTCTGATGTCAGTTCTTACAGGAGCTTTAAAGAACAAAGCTGTGAACTTCACCTTTGCTAAGACTCACCCTTGTGAGTGCATCCAGGGTGTCCAACACAAGAGAAGGGTGTTCTCATCTCTTGTGAGGATAAAATAACACGGATGGCTCCCTCTGGAAGACATCCCTGGTGCTCTAGTGACAGGAGGTGCTGTTTTCCTTCCCACTCAGTCATTTTGTCTCAATGTTTGCTATGGGGACTTACAGCCAGTGGGTGGCGCTGTAACACCGGAGGACTCATTTGCTCTGTTTGCATTAAGTGTTTTTATTATGGGGCTATTTTTCTTACGTTCTACGTATGGCTCTTGATTTTTTTTTTTCCTTCTTCTTTTTGGGTTGGGGTAATAGTTGCAGGAAACTTAAATTAATGACTGCTATTATTACTTTCTGATTTAATATTTTGTTCTCTTTGATGATTTATAATGACTTATTTTCTTTGATATTCTTCCAACCATGTAGCAAATGAAGATAATTTTCTTAGGCAAAGTAAGCAAACAAAATTGGACATTAAAAAAAATAAAACAATCGTGAGGATATATTTTACTTCTTTGGATATTCCTTTGGATTATGACATAATTTCTGGTTGGCCCCAGAACCCTATTTTTATCTATGAGCAAATGACCTCAGCTTCATGTTTTTATTTCTAATCAGTAAATTGGAAACGTTCTATTTTTCTCTACGTCTTAGTTGGAACTAGCTTAGGGTTCAGGTGGCAATTCCTTGTGTTTGTGTTCAGCGAACGCCGTGTTACAGTTTATTCTACCCCTGGGGAATGTCTTTATTTCAGAAGAAGGGTTGGCAATGCAGTTCAGTAGCACGAGGCTTGAGTGGCACGTGTGAGGCCTGGCTCCATCCTAGCGCAGGGGGAACGACGGGGGAACAGGTTAAATCTACACGCAAACACGTTCTTTCAGTTTTTCCACTCTAAGCTGCTAAAGGCTAAAGCGTGCCTTAATAAATCATGCTTGATATCTGACAAGGAAAAATTCTTTTCAGGAAAAGGTGGAATTTGCTTGGGTTCAGTTTCCAGACAGGTGATCTTCCTGGATTTCTAATGCTGAAGCCAGTATTATAATGTGTTCTTGCCAAAGAAATATTTTTTATTAACTCAGAATTTCATATAATGTATTTTGATCATATCCGCCTCAGCCTTTCTCAGATTTCTACTGCTTCCCTACTCACAAACTGCATTTTTTTTTTTTTTTTTTTTTACTTTTTTGATAATTTGTACTGTCTATACACTCCAGGGTTTTGGGCCATTCCCTGGGGAGCAAGGTCCATTTATCACAAGCCACCCCCCCAAAGAAAACTGACTCCCTCCCATGAGAAGCCATCAACTGTCTATCGGTTCTCAGGTCCATGGAGCTCGAGGACCCTTCCCACTCGGTGCTAGAATGTGGTTGCATCTTGGGCAGGTGTTGTGCAGGCGACCCCCCAGTGGCCGTGAGCTTGGGAGCGGAGCTGTCCTGTCTGCTCCTCAAGAAACCGTTTCCCTCCTTTTCTTTCTCCCCAGCCCCTGGCTCTTACAGTCTTTGTGCCCCTTCCTCTGAGTTGGTCCCTGAGCCCCAGGAAAGGGTGTGATACAAACGTCCCACTTGGGGCTGATCACCCCACAGACACTTATTCTGTGTTTCAGCCATCTGCGGGTTTCTGCAGAGCATGTTCTTTTTTATGGAGTGATATTTGCTCTGGTGAGCTCTGGTGCGCTCCTCCGTCGGCTGGTGCGGGGAACTCTGTGCCACTTAATCGTAGCATGCCCTTTGTTTCCCTTAGGAACACTACAGTTCCTCTCCCTGTGCTCGGTTTCCAGACATTACAAATGCTGCTATTTGCCCTTCAGGTTTTCTTCTTGTTTCTGTAATAAACTCTCTGGATAAAAAGTATATTTATATATCTAAAAAGTATATATACATATCTATCTGGATAATGAAATGATTTTGTGTGTGTGTGTGTGTTTCGTCATATTGTCAAAACAGTAAAATCATGTTTTCTTAAAGAAGGGATAGTCTGTAAAATAGAGATCAATATGTTTTTCACAAAATAAAAATATAGTCTAGAAAGTCATGGTTAGGCTAGCGTGCATAAATGGAGTCGTCTGTTGTTGTTTCTCTTGGCTTCTGGTTTGAGGATCTCAAAGCAGGACACAGGTGGCATGTAAGTTGTTATTGAATACGGGAATCACATTCGTGTTAGCACTTCTCAGTTTATGTCAGGATTTGGAGCTGTAGGTGAACCCTTCCCATATCTGGCTCCATAGGAGGCCGTGGGAAGGATAACACAGCAGATGCCAACTAGGAAGCCGAGGGGGCCGTGTGGCTCTTGGCTGGAAGTCTATTTATGTATTCTAGTAAAGCAAGGGGAAACAAAGGACAAAGGCCCTTGTTCAAGATAATCCATTATTAATGGAACGAGAGAAGCGATTCTTTTAAGTTCTTTATAAACTGGATCGGCCCTCTCCCAGCTCCTGTGTCCTCCTTCCTTCCTTGTCTAACCCCTGCCACACTCGTTCCTGTGTCCACAACATTGGCGCTCACCCACCTTACTGCCTTTCTGTTCTCATCATAGCCAGGGCTGGCTGATTTGTTTTGCTTACAGTTCGTTCTTCTTCCTGGTGCCTCGTTGTCCTGTTTCCAACTCTGTTCATTCCTTGTCCTGCATCTTTGTAAGTGGGTGGTAGATGCCACTGTAAATTAGAAAGGGCCAGGAGCTGGGAAGCCTGAATAGCCACATTTACTTCTGAGTTCTGTGCTTGTGGCAATGGCTTCTGTCTCCTGGGAATCCTCTTTGTCATCTTCTAAAACTGTCCCACTAAACTTCATGAGGACTGAGTGAAGTGATGCCAGCCAAAGGCGCTTCCCTTGTGCATGTTTCTGGCAAGCTCCCCGCCGCTTGATGACAGTGTTAAACAGTAACAGTTTTGCATATGAAATGTGTTTTTTTTTTTTAATTATAAGAATGTATGATGGTTGCCTTGAAAATACTGTGCCAGATGAAACAGTCCAGACACAAAGGACAGTTCTTAAATGATTCTCCTGTCATGGGACCCAGTAGGTCAAATATGTGGAGAACCAAGGCAGAATGCAGGTCAGTGGGTGGCCAGGGGATGGGATTGGTTATTTAATGAATATAAAGTCTGCGGTGGTTGTAAAATGTCTTGGATGTATCTAGTGAGCTGAACTCTGCACTGAAACACGACTGAAATGGGAGTAAACAAATGGAAACTGAGGAAAATGTTCATTGCAGCACTGTTCATATCAAATGTCTGCTGACAGAGGACTGTGTTGTAGACAGCACATGAAGTGGAATATTGTTCAGCCGTACAAAGGAATAAGGCACTGACCCCTGCTGTAATGCGAATGAACCTTCAAAATACTATGCTAAGTGAAAGAAGCCAGAGACAAAGGTTGTCTGTTGTCTGGGTCCACATATATGGACTATTCAGAACAGCCAAGTCAGTAGAAACCAAAAGGGCATTGGTGCCTGCTAGGGGCTAGGTGGAGAGAGGGACGGGGAGGTGACTCCTCAGTGGGTGTGCACTTTTTTTTGATCTGACAAAAACATCTTGGAGTTTGATAGAGGCACAAGATGCCTGCTCGCATCTCTGGTTGACCGCTCATAAGAAAGGAATTGGTGCAGGTCTATGGTGACTTTATACATGGTGGTGAACGACCGAACACTTCTCCCTGTGATGCAGTACAGGAAAGAGAGCGTCTGGTCTCTCCACTTTGTATTGCATAGTCGAGGCCAAAGCAAGAGCACGTAGATGCCATCACCTTCTGTGTAGAGAGACCCAAAGGACCCACCCACCAACCAACTGGTGGCATCCAGAAAGCTGGAAGGGTACACAGCGATGCACAGAAATCAACAGCGTCTCCAGATGTTAGGCATAATCATGAGATCTGAGACACCCAGTTCACTTCACAATAACATCAAAAAACCTAAGAATAAACTTAAGAAAAGAAATGCAAGGCTGCATGGAAAACTAGAAAGCATCTCCAGAAACAATCAAAGAGAATCCAGTGGAATGGAAATAGACTTTGTGTTTTAGATCAGAAAACATAGCAATATGGCATTTTTTTCCCCCCAAAAATATTACAGAGCCAACACAGTTATGGCCAGGCTGCCGTGACTTTTTATAGAAATTTCTCTTCTTATAGAAATTGGTAAAACTGAGCCTGAACTTAAAAGAAAAAAAAAAAACATTTTATATAAGTATCTTAGTGTGTTAGTATGTGACTGTGAATGTGGGTGTCCAGCTATTGAATGCCCCTGGAACTGGAGTTACAGGCAGTGAACTGTGATGTGGGAATCAAATTCAGGTCCTCTGAAAGAGCAATAGGCACTCTTAACCGCTGAGCCATGGTTATGGCGCCTTACCCTAAACTTTCGATTTCTTTGTTTTTATACCCCAACCGAGGACAATGCATGGAGAGGACCTAAAACCCCAGCTCAGATGTAGCCCATAGACTCAGTCTCTGAGTGAGGTCACTAGTAAGGAGAGCAGGTGCTTTCTCTGGCATGAATTCAGTTACAGGCTCTCTGATCACCTCCCCCTGTTGGGTACAGCCTTGCCAGGCCACAGAGGAAGACAATGCAACCAGTCCTCATGAGACTTGATAGGCTAGGGTCTTATAGAAGGGGAGGAGGACCTCCTATATCAGTAGACTAGGGGAAGGGCATAGGGGGAGAAGAGGGAGGGAGGGTGGGATTGGGAGGAGATGAGGGAGGGGGCCACAGCTGGGATACAAGTTGAATACACTGTAATAAATGATAATAAAAATATTATCAATTGTTTTCTGTGTGGGTGTTTTTCCTGCTTGTATGTCTGTGTACCATGTGCATACCTGGGCAGAAGAGGACATTGGTTTTTCCCTGGAACTGGAATTATAAACAATTGTTAGCTCCTGTGTGGCTGCTGGGAATTGAACACGGATCTTTTACAATAGCAACCAGTCCTCTTAATTGCTGCCATGTCTTTCACTCACACGAACATTTTTAACAAGGCACCAAGGCAATATGAAGCATGATTATTTGACATTTTCAACAAACGTGCTGGCAAAGACATATCCATGTGCAGCAGGATGACTTTAGACCTTTGCCTCACAGGAGAGACGAAGATTCATTCAAATTTGATCACAGACCTTACATGAAAACACAAGACTAATTTTCCTAGCTTTGGATTAAACATTAATTTCTTAGATGTAACATCAATAGCATAAAAGATGAAAGAAGAGAAAACTGAAATAGAAAGCTTTTCTGCTTCAAATGACCGTATCAAGACTAAATACTAGGTAGGTATTGTGGCTCATGCCTGGAATTCCAGCATTTGGGAGGCTTAAGTTTATGTTTCTAGCTTCTTCAAAACCCACAGCTCCAGTTAAATATATCTATGAAAAATATGTAGTAGGTAAGTATCCTACAAAATACCTAGGCAGTAATTTTCAAAATTGGCAGATTAATCAAAAACAGGTGAAGTTTGTACCAATGGCCATAGACAAGAGGTAGCCAAGGGCACATAGTAACTAGAGACAATGGATGGGAATCTGAGGTATAAAAGGTTATTATACAAGCACTAAGGTTATCTGAAAGAACTATGGGACCCTAGTAACAGTGCACTAGGCAGTACTATCTGCCCCCATAGGCTCATAGGGAGCGGCTTCTTAGAGTGGGTTTGGTCTTGCTGGAGGAAGTATATCCTGGGGGTGGTGGGCTTTGGGCTTTTTTCAGAAGCCCAAACCATGCCCAGTGTCTCTCTCTTCCTGCTGCTTGTGTGTCCAGATGTAGAACCCTCAGCTCCTTCTCCAGCACCATGTCTGCTTTTATGCCATCATGCTTCCCACTGTGATGATAACAGACTAAATCTCTGAACTGTCAGCCAGCCCCACTTAAATGTTTACCTTTACAAGCGTCGCCATGCTCATGGTGTCTCTGTCTCTTCGCAGTAATAGAAACCCTAACTAAGACAACAACTGAATACCTCTAGGGAAAAAAATTATCTCTCTTGTTTTTAAAATGTATTTTTTTTTTTTTAATTTCTTGAGACAATTTCACAAGGCAGCCCAGGATAGCCTTGAACCTGTGATTCCCCCTGTCTTGCTTTCCTGAGTGCTAGGACTACAGGCTCACGGCACCATACCTGGCTTACTTTACCTCTTGTCTCATTTGCCCTTCACTAAACATTTACTTCTCTAACTTAAGTACTAAACCTTTGAAACCTCAAGGTGTACAGTGAGGGGTGCTGTGGGGTTAGCTTTAAATACGTGACCCCTCAGCCAAAATTGACCATGGCCGGGACACTTGACACGGTTCCGTGACTGCCCTACTAAGTCCTCAGACAACCTTGCAGGGCATGTGACCTTGACTGACAACTGACCTCATTTTAGAGATAAGAAACCAAGTCCAGGGAAGTTGTTTGCGTGAGTGCTGACGGCGACTGTGGTAGACGCTGTTGGCATCAGTGCTGTGACCCCAGTGGACTGACTGAGCTTGTGTCACCTCCCTGTATTTGAAACTCAGAAGTGAGGCAGAGTCAGTCCTTACAGTAACTACCCTCGGTGAGGGAGGGGAGATGTGGGCCAGTTTTCCAGCATTCTTAATACAGACACTTTTAGATGTGTTCAGTGCAGCGTTGGGGTCAGTCTTGCCGCCTGAAGCACTGTCTTGATTTCGCGCTATAACATGGGCGTTCTGGCCTATGTTTTTCTGCTTTGGGGATCATTCCTCAGAGAAATCACTAGTTCCAGGAGGACTGTCCAGTCACTGGCCAGATGACAATGAATGTGGTAAGTGAATGGTGACCGCCATTGGCAGGCTGTATTATGACAGTTTCCAAGAATCACAGCTGCACTGAATTGGGATGGTGGGGACAAAAACCAGAAGAGTTAGAGTTAGTTAGTAGCTTTGAAATTGACTGGTTGGGAAAAATGTATTGCCATATCCTGATCTGTATCCTGAAGCTGGCCCCTTTTTGATAATTGTCTCAGAACCCTTGAAGAAAAAGAATTCAGGCAAGACCAGCCAACTATTGGGTCCTGCCAGGAAGCCAAAGAGGTTCCAAAGCATAC